CAAGTCACCTCTTCTGCCTGGACTCTTCGAGTTGGGTTTCTGTGGCTGACCAACAGGAGACTCCTAGCTAACGTGGGCCTAATATAATCACAGCACCTTCTCTGTCAGAGCCACTAATCACCAGTGTTATGTGTGCCCTGGGTCCTGTGTTTCATGGCTTTTGTTACCTCCTTTTCCTCATCAGCACAAGATCCACAGCTGTCTTACATCTGGCAGCTGACACAGTAGCATAGTAATATGTCCCTGGAACGCAGACTGTTGTCAGTAAACAAGGGGAGTAAATGAGCAAAGACGTACATAGAAGCCATGAATGGGCTGCGCTGAATCCTCTGATTCCCTATAAACTTAGATTCTAATTACTAATAGAGACTCAGAAGGTACTCCTGATCCTCACAGGCAAGGTACCTTTCCTGCTTCAGGAGAAGGTTTACATCCTGAGTCATGTCTGCATTCTACCTGCATTCCCTCCTGAATGATGTTCCTCTGAACCCCAAGCTCTGTGCTCAGTGGGGTCCCATGGCACAGTTTTCTGAACTGCTCCATCCCTGGCTTTCTGAACCAATGTTAATGGTGCCAGTGAGCTGGGACCCACACTTAAAGGGGAGGGTAGAGTTAAGCAGGAAAACCAGAGAGGATGTTCCAGATCTGTGGAACACTTAGACTTCAAGGAGGGGCTTTGGAACCCGTGGGGCACATATCACCTAGTGAGCATCAGTTGGTCTTATTAAAATACAGGTTCCAAGGCTCTACACCAGACTTACAGAGTATCTTGGGTTTAGATTTCCAGGAAACTCATTTAAAATAAATGTCCCAGATGATACACACGAGTTCAAGTTGAGGCATCCTCTGTTCTTAGCCTCCTGGTCACTCCACTGATGAGGGATTTCCACCCTACACTGTTGGGATGGCTGAACACATGACACCTGGCACTGGGCAGATGAGATGAGCAGAAGTTTATCAGTCATCTATGCTCACAGCCCAGGACAAGAGGACACCACACATTACAAAGGGCCATGCAGGAGCTGCTCTCAGGAAATGAATAAGCTGCCAGGGCCTGTGTGAGGCAGGGTGCAGGGGCCCTTATTCCCACAGGAGGGTTTAATTAGATTGTTTGAATTCCACAGGCTAGCAGATACTGAAACTCGAGGATAAGCAGGTACCAACTATTCCTGGTCCCCCGATGAAGAAGTTTGTTGAGGACATTTTCCATGGGAATAAAAGAGCAGAATGTGCAGCTGGTCTTCAAAGGTCCTACCAGTTTTACCAAGTGTTAGGGCACCCTTTGGTTACCTCCTTCAGCAAGCACAGTCTCCTTCAAGATGCCTGATACTATCTTCTTCAAAGTGGGCCCAAAGTAACAGCAGTAAGTCCTGAGCACTAAGTTCAGGACACAGGCTCCTGTGGAGTAACTACAGGGCTCAGAGAATACCTCAGACTGCTGATGGGAAATCTTTTAGAGACCTAGTGCCCAAACGGCAACCCAAAGCCCACTTATTTATCAGAAAGTGCCAACACTGCAGTTAAATCTCAATACTGATGTTTTAGTTCAGGGGAAAAAAAAAGTATTTTCTGATGCTCAGCTGCTGGGGTGACTTGACTCAGAGTGGATGGAGAGAGAGAGCTCTGCATGCCTGCTGAGGCACGTGTGCCATAGGCTCACCATTAGCTTTGGTCCAGACAGAGAATGGGAGAAGGAGCTGCACTTCCAGGAGTGGCCATCTCCATGGGACACCTAAACGTGACTGGGAGTGTAGGGTGAGTGCAGGGCTGGCGGGCATGACCTCTGCCACCATGCAAGGAGCCCAGCCTCACACTGCGTATGGCAGCTCAATGCAAAAATCCAGGCTGCGCGGGACTGGAGGTCACCAGGAAGGAAAGCCAGAAGAGCTATCACCGTGCTCCCAACCCAAAATAGACAGAAAAAATCCAGACCCCACAGCTCAGTATTCACAGAACATCAGCCGAGACCACCTGTGCATCAAATAAAGAAATAAAACTAAAAGCCCAGGAAGGCTGGCTCTTATGTCCAGGTCCTCCTCCTTTTGTTTCTGTTTCCTATTACCCACCACCACTCCCGACAGAGTACATATTTCTCACACTGGGGGTAAAAATGCTTCTCATACAGTTGTCATTTTCATATTCTTGATAGTCTAAGTAAAAATCTGTCCTGTGATGAAGAATTTTCATTCACTCATTTACATGACAAATTTTCCTGTCTATATGCTGAGCTCAGTACTGGGGGTTGGAAACCCAGGATGAATAAGAGGTAGGTCCATGCAGTGGACACCTATGCTATTCTTTTAATGAGGCAGTTCCATACATATTGATATGAAAAATCTTCAAAACAGGTAGTTAGCTTTTCTAAGGTAATGAGCAAAGCAGTGTGGATCACATTGTATTGTTTGTGCTACAGAGAGGGGGAGGGATATAGAAGGAGTCGCAGAGAGGCAGGCAGATGAATGATATATTTGCACCAAGTCTCTAAAAGAATACACAAGAATTCATAACAACAGCTACTTTGGGGTGGGGCAGGGTGGGGTGGGTGAAGAGAAGGAAAGTCTCTAGTCTGAGGATATTTCTCGTCGTATACTCTTTTGTACTGATCTATTGTTTAAAGTCATCTTTATATGTTGCCCATCTCTTTCTCCAAAAAACACTTTAAGAAAAAAGATATGAAACAAGAAAACTGAAAAGCAGGCAGAGGAGACAGATGAGTAATCATCTAATTAGTAAACAATGCAGTGAATGCTAAAATATTCATGTAGTTCCTTGTCTTCTTGGAGAAAGGTACCCTGTTCTGGTAAAGTCAGGCTAAACTTATTGGATAGACTGATACCTTAACCTTTAAAAATGGGTAAAACTGAAGGCTATTGTCCTTCACATCTGTTAGTGAGAAAAAAAGAAGAAAGACGCAAAGGAAAGAAAAGAGAAATCCACAGGCTTTCAAGGGAGGTTTCAGAGGTCTAGTGTGATCTCTGGGGAAAGGTCGAGGACAATGCCAGGTGCTCAGAGCTGTAGTGGCATAACCCCACATTCCCAAGAGTGCTGTTATGGCAGAGAGCTAGCCCAAGTGGGGTACAGGCCAAATAACCACTGGCAGAAGTCGTTTCTTTGCCAGCATCACGGCCTTCCTGTCCATTCCAGATCTCCAGTGATACCAAAGCTGGTTAAGGTGTTCCTGGCTTTCATTCCTCAGGGTCATCTTTAAGCACTTCATTTCTGTTGGATGAAAGGAAATCTCTACATTCTAACTTCCATTCCCTCCCCACCCCAACTCCTGAGCTACTTCTCAGACTGAGTGTTCTTTAAGAAGAGACTGGGTCCTCACTGACATCTTTCTTTAGAGAGCTCCATCAAAATCTTGCACTCACCCAGTGTCCTTTCCTTGGCCACCGGTAACCAAGGAAACGAGATACTATGGTAACACAGGAGGAGAGAAAAAGAGGCATCCTGGAGCCCTTCCTTGCATTCTTTCTGTTCTCTCCTGGAATCGAAGCATCTCTTGGGGTAGGGGCCCTGCTCTCAGCTTTCCAGGGGGAAAGAACTAGGACAAGGGGGTGGTTTAGTGGCTGACACTCACAGCTTCCCTGAAGATTAGTGCCCCAGAGGTTCCCAAACTATGCCCTTTCCCAAAGAGCCTGGCTCCTGCTAAGATCTATAATATAATGGCCAAAATAACCCATTATGAGAGATGCAGTTTTATTTAAATAAGTGAACAAAACAAATACAATTGGGATCATATATAAGCAAAGCCCTAGACATTGAAATCATAATGTATGACAAAATTACCAAGTGTTTGCACCATCTTTCACAATGGAAAATTTATCTCATGGTTTTGCCCTGCTTTTCTGCCTCTAAACAGCTGCTTGTTCTTCAACCCTCAACCATCCTTACCTCTGCTTCTCCAGACAATCGTCCTGCATCATTGTTTGTTTACCTCTCCAAGGCCCTCTCTCTCTCCCTCTGAGGCTCTCTCTCTCTCTCTCCCTCTCTCTCTCCCTCTCTCTCCCTCCTCTCTCTCTCTCTCTCTTTCTCTCTCCCCCATTCTCCCTTCTTGCCTCCTTCTAGCCTACCATTCACCTGTCATAAAATGAAATGACATCAAGAGATTTTCTGTGTTCTGGTGCCGGAACTCAGGCCCTGCCAAGGCCAGATAGAACCCCACTCCATGTTGAGCAATGTCCTTACTTCCTGTGACCTTACAGCAGACAAGCTGGGCACAGAAGGCCTCAAGGTAGCACAAATGAGGCCTCTGCTGGGAGGAAGCCAGCACATTACAAATGGTGATAAGTGTGATGACGTTGTGAACAAGGAATAAATATTCCGAGGGCTCTGCTCAAGTGCAAGGTCAGAGCGACCTTTTAGTCTCCATCTTTTGTTTGTGAAAGCTTCTTTTACATTCATGAGATTTCTCATTTGAGTTTTAAAAATCTCTTCCCCAGTTTGTTCCCTTGAATCTACCCTAAGACGCGTGATGATCCCACCCTCTCCCAATAGTACTCTCTGACCTATATTTCTCAAACTCTTATCAGTTAAAATGTTTTGAACATGGACTTCCCCCAATCTAAGTGTATGCAGGTATTTATAAATCACACACATGTGGCTACAATACTAACATTTATATATATATATATATA